TGTTTTATTTTTTAAAAGAATTATTTTATGTGTAAGAATGTTTGCATGTATGTTCACTGAATGCATGCAGTGCCTGTGGAGGCCAGAAGAGGGCGACAGATCCCCTGAAACCAGAGTTACAAGGGGTTGTGAATTGCTGTATGGTGCTGAGAACTGAGCTTCCTTCCTGTACTAGAGCATAGAGCAGCACATGTTGTTAACCACTGAGCCGTCCCTCCAGCCCTCCCCCCACCCCTTTTTATGTGTGTGTACTTAAGTGTGTATGTATGTGGGCCTGTGAGCATGTATGGAGGTCCGAGGACAGTTTGCAGGAGTTGGTTCTCTCCTTCCACCCGTGGGTCCTAGGGATAAAACCTAGGTTGGTAGCATGTACCTGTACCTGCAAAGCCATCTCCTGGGCTTTGCCCAATACATTTCTTACTTACCCCTGGTATCTTCATTCTTAAAGGGAAAGGACAGAGCTACAGGTACAATGAGTGAAAATTGGCCTTTAATTACCAGCCTTTAAGATGAGTACTTAAATTCTTCTTCGAACCCTTTTTTAAAAAGACAGTGTTTCTTTGCTAGTTCTGGAATTTGATTTGTAGACCAGGCTGGCCTGAAATAAAGATCCACCTGCTTCTGCCTTCCAGGGTGCTGGGACGAAAGACATGTGCCACAACACTTGGTTAAGATTAGTACTTTTTAAATGCCTACCACATTTACAGACACAGCTGATTGGGAAGCTGATTCAAACCTTAAGATACTAAACGGGTAGAGGTGTCGATACAACATGAAGACAGAGATGTCCAGCTTCTCTTTCCCTTAGTCACATGGCAGGCCTCTGCAGGTCTAGTGAGGACTTGCTGGCTCTTTTGCTATGGCATTTTTTAGAGTTAAGCCAATCTCTGGAAGAGGCAACATTCATTCATTGATCACTTGCAGTGTGATGGTCTGATAATCCAGCCGAAAGCAAGATAGCTTTAGGCCACACCTGGAGGAGTTGGGCCAGAGACCAAGTGGAAGCTGGATTGCTGATGTACATTTCTCATCCTGATCCCCTGGGGGCTTCAGCCTGAGCCACACAGCGCTGGAGGTCCCGACACAAAAAAAAAAAAAAAAAATGTTCTTGCTGCCTGTTGGTGCTTTAGTCCCAGAACTCAGGGGGCATGGCCAGCCTAGTCTACAGAGGAAGTTCCAGGACAGCCAATGCTACATAGAGAGACCATGTCTGGAAAAACAAAAACAAAACAAACAAACAAACAAAAAAAAAGATCTCAAGATCTCACAAAAACAGGAACGTTTTTTGTTTGATGTTTCATCTTGTTTGTTTTCTAATAATGTACTGGGAAGAAGAAAAAAATAAAATAAAATAATGCAGTTGGGCATGGTGGCTTAGACTTGGGATCCCAGAACTTGAGAGGTAGAGGCAAGGTGATTGCTTTGAGCTTAAGGTCCCTCTACCCTGCATAGTGAGTTGCAAGTTAGTGTGGACTATAGAGTAAGACCTGACTTTCAAATAGCACAAGGACCATCAAAATGGCTCAGTGGGTCCTTACAAACTTGATGACCTGAGTTCAATCCTTGAGACCTACATAATGGAAAGAACTGACTCCCTTGAGTGAGTCATCTTCTGACCATCACATATACTGTGTGTGTTTGTGTGTGTGTGTGTTTGTGTGTGTGTGTGTGTGTGTGTGTGTGTGTGTGTGTGTGTGTGTGTGTACAGGATTAAAAAAAAAAACCCGGGCAAACATGAACCAAACTAATGTGGTATGATAACCAATGTCTGGAGAACTAACAGGTCTGTGAACACAGAGAGGTAGAGAAGATACTCTAATGTCCTCAGGGGAATAGGGGAAACCATCAGAGCATAAAGCTACAGCCTGTTATTCTCTCACTTGGGAAGTAGGGGAGGTAGGAGGATCAGGAGTAAGTGAGTTCAGGGCTAGCCTGGGTTACATGAGACTCTGTCTCAAAAAAAAAAAAAAAAAAAGGAAACATGGTGCAACAGATTTGAGATTGAAACAAAAATAGCTCAATCCTCAGGCAGACAGCAGAGTCAGGGGAAAGTCCAAGGAAGTTCTAGGCAAAGGGTCAGGCCCCTCCCTTCTACATTCACGCCCCAAACATCTATTAAACATTCCATGTGTATTTGATGTTTCTGGGCTGAGGATGACTCATGGAGGCTGACACACTGAGTTGATCACAGGAAGCACAGAAAGGAAAAAAAAAAAGCAAAGAAAACATGCCTACTGCAGTGGAATGCCTGCCTGAGGGTTCTTCACAGTGCTTTGGAGAAGACCCTTTGTGTCTCACTGAAATTCATCTCTCAAGAAACGCTCCTCGAATGTTTATACACTGGCAGGCACTTTGAGCTGCAGGGACACAGAGATCTCAGTTCTGGTCCCTGCCTTTGAAATTCACAATTGCTGCACTCCAGAGAACTGGAGTTTGGTTCTCAGCACCCACTTAAGGAGGCCCATGATCATTGGTAACTCCAGCTCAACCTCTTCTGGCTTCCACAAGTACCCACACACGTATCGTATCCCCTTACTCTCTCTCTCTCTCTCTCTCTCTCTCTCTCTCTCACACACACACACACACACACACACACACACACCTATATTCTTCATGCTAACCTTGCGACACTATGAGCAAAATAAGAACCAAGAAGCCAGGCACGTGCCTTAGCCCCAACATTTGAGAGGCTACAGAGAATCAAACAGGACTGAGGCCACTTGGACAATTGTCTTTGAATATATGAAATGATATTATCACAGACATAGAATTGCAATTTAAACCAGGTGCATGATCCCCTCTCTCCCCACAAAAATAGTGGGCTGGAGAAATGGCTCAGGATCTAGATTGTTTTGTTTTGTTGAAACAGGGTCACACTATGTAGCTCTGGCTGTCTGGGAATTCACTATGCAGGCCAGGTATGTATGTCTGTCCACCAGATGCATGCCTGGTGTTAGAGGCTGCCAGAAGTGAGCATCAGATCTCTGCAACTGGAGTTGTAGGTGGTTGTGAGTTGCCATGTGGGTGATGGGAATTGTACTTGGGTCCTCTGCAAGAACAACCAGTGTCATTAACTGCTGGGCTGTGACTCTAACCCCTGCTTTTAAGGAATTTGCAGTTTTGTTTGAATTACATGTCGGAAAAGTTTTCCAGTAAGAAACACCATCCTTGCTATTTCTTCCTGCAGCTTTTCAGCAATATTTTAACTCAAAAGTCTTTCATAGCAGCTCTCAAGCCGCTGGATTGCTTTTGCTTCTGTTACTGACATAGACTTCATCTTGATCCCCTCCATACAGTAACTAGATGTGTGTATATAAATGACAGATAAGATGATGGATGGATGGATGGATAGATACATAATAGACAGGATAGTAGATAATGATAGGTATCTCTTCTTGCCTAGGCTGACTTCTAACTCATGCTTCAGCTTCCTAAGTGATGTGATTACAGGCATACACTATTATGCTCAGCAGAACCATTTGTTTGCCTTTTAAAAATTAATTTAAAACTTTTTGTGTATGGGTGTTTGGCCTACATGTAGGTCTGTACACTACATATGTGCAGTACTCATCTATACCAGAAGAGGGTGCCAGAGACTCTGGAATTGGAGTTTCAGTCCATGGTGAGCTGTCATGTGGGTCTTAATTACTAAACCCCAGACGGTTGAAGGGTTCAGTAACTAAGGGCACTTGTTCTTGCAGAGGTCTCAGTTTGGATTCCCAGAGCCCACATGGTAGCTCAGAACAAGAAGTCAGAATTCAGAGGATTTGACACCTCTCCTGGCCTCACCCGGTACCAGGCATGCTTCTGGTATGCAGTCATATACACACCCTACATGGTGACGAGCACTCTGAGTTCTAGGCTGGTCTGTTTAGTGAACACCACTAAACACCGCTTTTTTTAAAGACACAGTCCCACATAGCCTAGTCTGGCCTCTTAACCGAGAACGAACTTCTCATCCTCCTGCCTCTACCTTTCAAGTGATGAGATTACAAACGCTCACCACCATCTTTGTTCCAGCTGGCCCTCAAGGCCCACTACGGATAGATGCTCTGTGCCGCCTCAGCCTTTGGGGGTCGCCTCTTGCTTGGCACTGCACTTTCGGGAATATGGATGTCTTTGCTCTGGACATTTACCCCAAGGTTGCATGGGGCTGTAAGAAGTGAAAGTGTGTCTGGCATTGGTGGCACATGCCTTTAATCCCAGCATTGGGGAAGCAGAGGCAGGCGAATCTATATGAGTTCAAGGCCAGCCTAGACTACAGAGGGAGTTCCAGGACAGCCAGGGCTGTTACAGAGAAACTCTGTCTCAAAAGACAAAACAAATAAACAAAAAAAGTGTAAGTGCGCCACCAGACATCGGGCAATTGGTCAAAATGCCAAGTCTGGAGAGGCATGGGCTTTAAGACTATAATCACACCTTGGGGAACTGAAGCAAAAACAAAAACAAAAACTGTCAAGAGTTCAAGGCCATCCTGAAACACACGAGATTTTGTCCCAAGAATAAGAACTTAGGGTCTAGAGAGATGGCTCGGTGGTTAAGAGCCCAGAGGACCTGGGTTTGCATCCCAGCCTTCACATAGTAGCTAACAATAGTCTATCTTTCATCCTATTCCATTACAAGAAACAAACGGGGTGCACATATATACATACAGATAAAACACCTATACACTATCATTATCATCATCATCATTATTTTTCTGTGGCTTTGGAGACTATCCTGTCACTTGCTCTGTAGACCAGGCTGGCCTCCAACTCATAGAGATTAAAGGTGTGCGCCACCACCGCCCAGCCGAAACAATTGATTTTTAAAATGTCTTATAATCAAGTAAAAGTGCCGATTCTAGGGACTAAATTAATTGCTCAGTCCGCCCTACTCTAGGAGAGGTAAGGACGGCTAGAAACACCAAGGACGCATGCGCAGTGGAGAAACCACCGAGTCGGTCCTCCCGGGATAGAGAGGCCGGAAGTTCTCGCGGAGCTGCACGCCGAGTAGTGGAAGCGTACTGAGACTGCAAGAAAGGGGTCTGCTCGGGGCTCTGCTTGGTAGGTGAGCAGAGGGCCGGCGTGAGCGGCCTGGGGTTCGGTTCTGCACGATGGCGTCTCGGGCAGGCCCACGAGCGGCCGGCACCGACGGCAGCGACTTTCAGCACCGGGAGCGCGTCGCCATGCACTACCAGATGAGGTATGAGGTGAGCCAGGAGCACCGAGGCCTTCCCCGGGAGGAGCCAGCGGGTCCCGGGGAGCGACGCTAGCGATCCTCACGGTGTCGCTCCCCCAGCCAGCTGTCGTGTACCAGCGAGTCCCCGGCTCCGGCGACCGCCTCGGGTCCGTTTACAGGCCGGGAAGGCCGTGGCCCGCCTAGGGCTGCCTGTGCTTTGAGGGGATCTAGCCTGCAGAGGCTCATAGATCGATGCCTGGCCCCTCCGAATGACCTTGGAAACTTCATTTTTTCTTTTCCAAATCGAGGTCCTGGTGTCTAGAGCTCAAGCTGGCCTCGATCTCACGGCCTTCCCTCCTCAGCCTCCCGAGTATGCACCTGGTCTGAAAACTACTTAACTTTTTTAAAGAAAGCCGTGTGTGTGTGTGTGTGTGTGTGTGTGTGTGTGTGTGTGTGTGTGTGTGAGAGAGAGAGAGAGAGAGAGAGAGAGAGAATTTGTGCACACGAGAGCAGATGCTTGCAGAGTTCAGTAAAGGTTGTTGGGTTTCTTGGAGCTGGAGTTACAGACGGGTTTAAACCCACCCGAGTGTTCCAGGCTACCCTCCAGGAGCAGCAAGTGTTCTTAACCACTGAGCCATCTCTCTCTCTAGCCGCCAGGCCGGTTATTTCTAACGGAGCCTCAGTTCCCTCATCTTCAGAGGGAAAAAAAAAACTCATACTTTTTAGGTTTTGGTGAGGAATTAGCAAGTCATTAATGTAAAGGTGTAACATAAGAAATACCATGTGATAGCTGCTAAATTGTGGGGCTCTTTGGATGTGTGTGAATGGTAAAAGGTGTCCCTGTCCCAACTGGAGTTTCAGGAGTGTGTACATGTAAGGAGGTCTTTCTACATTCCTTTATTGCTTTGATAAATCCTCCTAGCCACCTATCCATCCTGCATTGCATCATGTACTGAGGACCTAACAGTGAGCAAAAACAGATCTAGTGTTTGCTTTCAGATTATATTTTCAATAAAGGTTTTGTTTTGGTTTTCTTTTTTCTTCTTTTTTTTTTCTTGTTTGTTTTGTTTGTTTTTCAAGACAGGTTTCTCTGTGTAGCCATGTCTATCCTGGAACTCACTGTGTAGACCAGGCTGGCCTCGAACTCACAGAGATCTGCCTGCCTCTGTCTCCCAAGTGCTGGGACTAAAGGTGTGTGACACCACTGCCAGGCTGTTATTTTTACATTCTTAAGGATTAGGGGAACCAGAAATGGTAAACACTCAGGGCTGTCTCATCAGAGGGAGAGATGTATAACCTGTTTTCTACCCTGAAGGCTCGGAGCATGCATGTAATCTTTGGGCTGTGTGACTGAGGCCAGACCAGATCCTCCCCTAGACCTTTATCATGAGCTTGTCAATCTATAGATGCCATCTTTGGTTGGTTGGTTTTGGTTTTTTGGAGACAATGGTTTCTTTGTAGCCCCTGGCAGTCTTGGAACTTCCTCTGTAGACCAGACTATAAATCAGAGATCCACCTGCCTCTTCGTCTCAAGTGCTAGGATTAAAGGTGTGCATCACTACCACCCTGTAGACCCTATCTTTAGGAAGATGTCACATGTCACACTTTTCAGTTTTGATGTAGTCACATCTTAAGCTTTATTGTGTACACGAGAATATGTTAATTATCACCAGGAAAGTTTTCATCAAATTGTGCTGTGCTTTAACAAGCCTAAAGTAAAATACTTGGTCAGATTCCTGAAGTTTGAACCAACACCAGGTACTGAGTTGAATTGAACTGAGCTACCTTGCCTCCTGCAGATTGTTAACTCAGCTGGCTGTGGTGGTTGAAGGGACCACCACATTGGGTCAGCTGTTAAGAGCACTTGCTGTTCTTGGAGAGGGTCTAAATTTAGTTCCCAGCACTGAGTTTAGGAGGCTCACAACCAACCCCCTGTAAGTCCAGTCCCAGGGGTTCCGATGCCTTCTGGCTTCCTGACAGCACAGGTGTGCATGTGGTGCACACATATACACATTAGATAAATTTTTAAAAAGAAAGAAAAGCCAACCTGGATCCTGCCTTCAAGGAGCTTGAGTGCCAGAAATGATTTCTTTTTTTCTTTTCTCTCTGCCTCCCACATTTCCTACAACAAATTAATGTTTTCCTTTAAATCCGTTGAATTCTTCAACTGTTCTTTGCCTCTTTCTGTACAGAAGGATGACAAGCCCTTTGGACCCTTCTTCCTCAACTTTAGGCCCTGCCTAATGGATGTCTCATAATCCAAACTCTTGTTTGCATGCATGCCTAGAGCAGAAACCTTGCTGGTGATGGTGTGAAAAGGATACGATTGAGGCCTGACGGGGTTAGGACTAAGAGGTGTGCTTCCTTCACCTGGGAACTGTAGCTGGAGAAATGTGGGGAGCCTGAACTGTTGTCCTTGTTGCTATACCTTCCCCTAACTGTCTTTGTTTGTGTGGTATGAAGCCATCTTTCTAACCACAGCTCAGAATTCTTGTCATGGCTTGATGAGATAGTGTCTTGGTTTGTTGTCCAGGTCACCTCCAATTGGAGATCTTCTGCCTCAACCTCCCAGGTGCCCTTACTGTTCTTCAGTCTTGAAGTCTACACATTCATGGTCTTTGAATCTGTTACTTCCTCTCCCATGTGTCTTGGGGCTTGAATACCTGACACAAATCCTTAAATGCTTATTCGTCTGTGCCTGTGTGTTTTCCTCTGCATAGAAGTCCACCTCCACTCATCCCAGAACCTCTGTTGAAATAGCTCTCTCCTCTGGTTAACCTCTGGCTTTCCGTCTCATGCTAATTGTTTCCTCCCTGGGATGTTGGATATCTTGGGTTTATATGTATTTGCTTGAGCTCAGTACTTCATTTCCCCAGCCTCTGTCAGAGGCTGTGTCACTTAGATTGTATCTATGTGTCCAGTACAGGTGCCTGGTAGTCCAAACAATGTAAGTGAAAATGGCTTCTCCCTCTGCTCTGCCTTACAGTGTGACGCTCAAGTGTGAGATCAAGAAGCTGATCTACGTACATCTGGTCATATGGCTGCTGTTGGTTGCCAAGATGAGTGTGGGACACCTGAGGCTCTTGTCACATGACCAGGTGGCTATGCCCTATCAGTGGGAATATCCGTATTTGTTGAGCATTGTGCCCTCTCTCTTGGGCCTTCTCTCCTTCCCTCGAAACAACATTAGCTACCTGGTGCTCTCCATGATCAGCATGGGGCTCTTCTCCATCGCTCCCCTCATTTATGGCAGCATGGAGATGTTCCCTGCGGCACAGCAACTGTACCGCCATGGCAAGGCCTACCGGTTTATATTTGGTTTTTCCGCTGTCTCCGTCATGTACCTGGTGTTGATACTGGCAGTCCAAGTTCATGCCTGGCAACTGTACTACAGCAAGAAACTCTTAGACTCTTGGTTCACCAGCACACAGGAGAAGAAACGTAAATGAGGCCCGCCTGACAGACAGACAGCATGAAGGGAGCTGTTCAGAATCTCCGTAGACTGTGGCGTCTGTGATGCTGACATCTAGTGCACACTAGGCTCAAATTTTGGCCTTGAGTTCTCTGTTACCATCTGCTGAGGTGACAAAGTTGTAGTGTTTAATTTATTCTTGACTAGCTACAACTGGGTGACCAATGGCTGTGGAACTCTTCAGCTGGGTTGAAGTTGAGGCCTTCCAGACTGAGCCTTACCCTTGCCTTCTCTTGATCAAATTCCCTACTTCCATTCTTGCCTCTTCACTACCAGTACTAAATGAGATCTGGAATAAATCAGTACAGAAATTCTACTTCAATCTGTAGGTCATGGGGCAGGCAACATTTGGGAAGCTGCTCTCCCTACAGACTGCTCTGTTTACTGCAAACCATTTTAATTACAAAAGAACCTCAATAAAGTTAAGACTGTCCTGTGCTTTGTGTTTGAGATTTGATTGAATTTCAAAGTTGTATTGCTTTAGAGGACGTAGACATTATGAGAAGAACAGATGCTTCCTGGGGAACATGGGGCTGGTACTGGAGGAGAGACAGCATGAGGAGCCTAAGTCAGCTGCAGTCCTCTAGCTCTTGGGTGAGACCAACCCTGGGACTGGGGTCGCGGGAGGAATGGCTCAGGGGTTAAGAGTACTGACAGAGGACACAGGTTCAGTTCTCAGCACCAACATGGTGGCATAAAGCCATTTGTGACTACTGTCCCAGGGAGTTTGATGCCCTCTTCTTGCCTCCAGTGCACTAGGCAGACATGAGGTACAAAAACAAACATGCAAGCAAAACACTCAGAAAAGAAAGGGTGTTTTGTTGTTTTTAAAACATGGGCTCTCAATGTAGCTCTGGATGTCCTGGAACTCACTCTGTAGACCAGTCTGGGCTCAAACTCACAGAGATCTTCCTGCTTTTGCCTACCAAGTACAGAGATTAAAGATATGTGTCACCACACCCAGCAATATATATTTGGCCAGGCATTTAATCTCCACCTGTAAAGCAGGTGGGTTATAAGCTCCTTCCCCCCCCCTTTTTTTTTTTTTTTTGCTTGTTTAAGACAGGGTTTCTCTGTAGCTCTGGCGGTCCTGGAACTTGCTTTGTAGACCAGACTGGAATCAAACTCAAATCCACCCAACTCTGCCTCTCAAGTGCTGGGATTAAAGGTGTGTGTCGCCACTGCCCAGCTGGATTATGAGCTTTCTATTTGGTTATTTATGTTTATTATTTAGACTTTTATGTGTCTAAAACTGTATAATAGTATGGAAAAGAATTTGCTAGTTGGGGCTGTTGTTTTCTAGTAACTGGCAAGTAGCCCTGAGTCAAAATAAGAAGAAAGGGGTTTGAGTTCTTTTTCCATTTTAGTTTCTGTCCATGGTCTTGTGTGCAAAAGAAGATGCTAACCCTATGAAAGCCAGAAAAAGAAAAAGGTGAGATTCCGGTGTTGCCGCTAGGGGCATACCACCAGTGACTTCCTTCCAGTCAGCCCCTCCTAAAGCTTCTTCCACCTCCAAAAATGCCAAGGACTGGCAACTAGAGGACATGGGCCTTTGGGGAAAGATAGCAAGGAGCTTCCAGGCTCGGGGGAATGTGCAGTGAACATAATGTCTAATTGTGTGAGAGACCCACAGCTAAGATACAGTCACCTAGAAGTCTTTAAATAGGACAGGAAAGGTGTGTGTCCCTTTGAACTGGACTTTATTATTCCTAGATGATGCCCAGATCTCTAAGTGCAGAGTTGTAATTCTTTTGTTCTGGAAATGTGTTGCTTCTACAGTCAGCAGAGCTAATTCCTCCAGATGTCCTACTGATCATTTCTTCTTGGGGGGGGGGGTTTCAAGACAGGGTTTTTCTGTGTAGCCCCTGGCTGTTCTGGAACTCAGAGATCTGCTTGCTGTGTGCTGGGACAAATGGCATGCACCACAATGCCCAGCTCCTACTGATCATTTCAAAGATAACTTCTTGTGCCTCAAGCCTATTGCTGTTCCTACTTCCTGTGTTGACATGAGCACAGCTCTGCACCATACACCCCTCAAGTTTAAGTCCATCCCGCACTCATAGTGCCTATTCAGTAAACCTATGGATGCCCTGATAAGTTCCCTGTCTTCTCAGTTTAACACTAAAACTTTCCCTACTTACGGAGAGGCTTCTCAGTGGTGAAGTATTCTAGCATGCACCAAGGCCTAGGTTTGATTTTCTAGCTCCAATAAATAAAAACAAACCTTTTCTACTCTTTTTTCCCCCCTCTGCTTTTTGTTTTGTTTTTCAAGGATTTCTCTGTGTAGCTTTGGATCCTGTCCTGGAACTCAAAGAGATCCGCCTGCCTCTTCATCAAGGCATGCACCACCACCGCCCAGCACCTTTTCTACTCTTACATTTCTTTACTAATCTTTAAGATGACACTTATATGAAAATTCTGGAGTCTTCCAATTCCTCACTTTGAAGAACAACTTTGTCTGGTTGTTTTCATTTTATTCCTTTATCATTATTTTCTTATAAGACTTAACCCAGAATGACCTTAAGGTTGAGATGACTTTGAACTCCTGATACTTTGTCTCTTCTTCCTAAGTGCTGGGATCACAGGCATGCATCATCACACCTGGCTTACATTACTTGTTTTTGTTTTTGTTTTTTTCCCTACAGACCAAGCCTTGACCGTCATTTTTAAAAGCTGCATATTTATTTTGCTTTCTGACTCTGTGGTGATGCTGTCAACACTTTGACAACAGTTTTCTCCTCAATAAGGAAAGCCCGCTTGATGCTGTCAGGGACACACTTGGCACACGCGGAGCTACCACAGGCCCTGCTGACATGCTTTATCTTAGACAGTATCATAAGGACTTGGGTCTCACAGCATGAACCCTCCAAGTCTGCCTGGGCATACACTGCATGCGGATTTATGCTCTTTCCCAGCCTTCTTAGTAAAAAGGTAAACAATCCTGTTGCCAGGGGTTTGAGACAGCCTAGTTTTGTTATAGGAAAGCCTATGATGGTATGTCAAATGATGAGCCATTCTGAGTGCCTCTAAGTACCAATCCTGGAAGAGGAAATCCTGCCCACCCCCTGAAAAAAAAAAACCAAAAACAAAAAACAGCCAGGCTGCATGTTGCATGCATGCCTTTGATCCCAGCACTCAGGAGGCAAGTTCCAGGAGAGCCTCCAAAATTACAGAGATACCCTATCTCAACAGCCCCCACAAAAAAAAAAAAAAAAAAAAACACAAAACAAACAAACAAAAACCTGTTTGTAAATTATTAGTCAAAGAGCTAAAACCTATTTTGGGCCATTGGATTGGCATTTTCATACAGGATTTGAATACTTTGAAAACTCATTATTAGTCAACAATTTTGAAACATTGTCATGCATCAGTTTTTGTTAGCTTTGTGCTTGGAAGTCTGCTTTTCTAGCCTTTTTCTATCACTTTTTTTCCCCTCATGGTTTTGGTGTTCACAAACTAGTCCTCTTGATTTAGTGGGGGAAAAATGCTGTTTGGGTTAGAAAGTTCAGAAGGATATGGTGGTACATGTCTGCAATCCCAACCTTTGGAAGGTTGAGGCAGGGACAATACTGAATTCGAGCCTGATATATATATAATGAATATCTCAAAAATATCTAAAAAAACAAGACTGGAGTTAAAATATCAATCACAGGACTAAGATCAACCCTGCCTGTTCTCTCATAGGTTGCTTTAACAATCCAATAGGCAAAGTATTATAAAGGCATTCTAAATTTTTAAATTTTTTTTTTTTTTGTTTTTGTTTTTGTTTTTGGAGACGCATTTTCTCTGTGTAACAGCCCTGATTGTCCTGGAACTCACTCTAGACCAGGCTGGCATCAAACTCACAGAGATACTCTGTGACAAACTCTGTCTCCCAAGTGGTGGGATTAAAAGTGTGTGCCACCACACCTAGTATAAATTAAAATTATTTTTTCTATGCATAGGTGTTTTGCCAGCATGCATGTTTGTACAGCACATGTGAACATGGTGCCTAAAAAAGCCAGAAGAGTGCATCTGATCCCATGGGACTGAAGTTAGAAAAGAGCTGCCATGTGGGTGCTGAGAATTAGACCCAAATCTTCTAGAAGAGCAGCCAGTGCTCTTAACCACTGCAGCATCCCTCTGGCTCTTGCAAAGGCATTTTATGGAGTCTGTAATACCATATGGATGTCAAAAGCTCTGGTGATCTTTGCAGCAAGACAGGAGAGTGAAGGCGCTGGAGAGACTTAAGGGATGATCTAGACCCCAAGAAAGGCTTGTGTGCTGTAAGCAATGATTATTAGGCTGAGATTCTAGCCAGGGAGTTTACTATTTATTGTTTGATTTATTACATTTTATTGCTATCCTAGGAATTAAATAGGGTCTTATAATTACTAGGCAAGTGCTCTCTTAACTGAGCCACATCCTTATATCCCGCCCGCTTACTATAGTTCAGCTTGTTCTTAAACTCAGCAATCCTGCCTCCGTAGTGCTGGGATTATGGCTGTTTCCACTCCCAGAGGAGCCTGTTTTTTATATGTTGCATGGGCATTGCAGGTCTCTTCCATTGCTGTGAGGCTGAAATAAATGTGGACGAACTGTGTTGTACATAGAGGTTTACATATGAATATACCTTTCTTTGAAATACAGTGTTGTGCTTGCCTCTCAAATTGGGAGAGTCTACCTGTTTTTAAGAATAAATCTCTTTCCTATTTTCCAAGAATAATTTCCTTTCCTCTTTTCCTCTTCTCTCCTTTCCCCTCCTTTTGAGAGGGTCTCTTTATAGAATCCTCCTGCCTCTGTCTCCTAAATACTATGTAGGTGTCTATCACTATCCCTGCCTAGCTAAGAATGACTTCTAGAATGCTGGGGGGTTGATTTCACATTCTTGGTCCATATTATCCTGACTGGTATGTTCAAGGTGCCCTGACAGTAGGTACAGAGCCAGCAGACCTCAGGAATTGACCATTACAGCTGCTATCATAGCCTGTCCAGAGTCCATGCATTGGGAAGACTGTGGCAAGAAAAACAGCCGCCAGAGGGCACCCCTCGTATACTCTTAAGCTGCATGCTTCGGGGCTTGCCAGAGCCTCCTGAGCTCCCTGCTTGGTCCTCAAATAAAGGTCCTTAGAGCATCAAGTCTTGGTCAACCAAGATTCTGACACCTTTGGAGAGTACAAAGCTTTTATGTTGACGCCTCTGTTGCCTCCCCCCCCCCCCCCGCCCCCGTTGCCTCCTGTTCTAGCCATCTAATTTCTTACTCTCCCAGTTGACAGTTGCCAATCTCCGTTCTCCTGGAACTGTGCCCACCTGCCACTAACTGGGATAAGACTCTTTCCCATTTTTTTGTTCTTTCCTACCCTACCTCTCCCTTTCCACGGCCTCATGAAAATCCCGACTGTTCTCAGGCTCACTGTTGAGCTCCCAGTCCTCCTGCCCCTACCTCCCTAATACAGGGATTACAAATTTATGCCACCACATTCCACTTTCTGATTTCTTTCCTTACATCTCCACTCTGCCAGCTTTATCACATTGCTAAATCTAAAACTTTCTGTGCAAAATGAGATCCAGAAACCCCCAGCTCCCCATAATGTGTTCTGACAGGAGGAACAGCTGAGGTGGTATGTGCTCTGCCGCCACGTTTCTTTGCTGTGTGTGTTTTTTGAAAAGTCTCAGTCTTCTTGAGTGTTTCCTTTCTAGAACTGGACATTAGTCTAGCCTCCAGGGTTGTGATGCTAGTAACACCAGCTAAAGAGAGCAATGGGCATTTTTGAAAGCCAGGTAGTTCAGCAAATACTGATTTCATCCCTTCCCTTTTCTAACAGACTCCAGCTACAGCAAATATGTAAACCAGCAAGACAAAACAAAACAAAACAAAAAAACAAAAAACAACAAAAACTGCAGACCTCTTCTTCCCACTTTTTCTTTGTCTTTGTTTGTTTGACAGTGTGTCACTATGTAGCCCTGTAACTCTCTATGTAGACCAGGCTGGCCTCCAACTCAAATTCCCAGCCATCTACCTGTCTCTGCTTCTGGAGTGCTGGGGTTAACATCACTGTGCCTGGCCTCCCTAATTCCTTGTCTTCTTTTCTCCTTCTTTACTCCTTGCCCCTCCATTCCTCTCCCTCCCCTTTATCTTTATTTGTTTATAGTCATTTCTTTTCTGCTTCTTCTGCCACACTTTAACAATCATCAGGACACAACTAACCAAATGCTCTCTCTTGAGAATCAGGTCAGAAGATCCAGGAGTCAAGAAAGACAAGTGTAAAATAGAGCTCACACGCTGCCAGCATTGGAAAACTCGTGGTGGCACTGAGGGATTGCTCAGAGAATAAGAACACTCACATGGTGGCTCACAACCATTTGTAACTCCAGTTCCAGACAATTCGGGATTTCCTTCTGATCGCTAGAGGCACCCAGCATATATACATACATGCATACATACATACATTCAGGTAAAACATTCATATTCATTTAAAAAATAATACGCCTTAAGAATTAAAAAAGAAAAAATTAATGTGTCAAAACCTCCAAGAGGTAGAATAGGAGGAAAGCTCTTGATGTTATGCTTAGTCTGGCTAGACCACCTCTTCTGTTCCCTGGATCTCACTGACTTGACTCTAGAGGTTGGCTCTGTACAAGGCAGCACTGTCAGCAGATCCTGTTCATTCAAAGAGGAAGGCGAAGCCAAGAGACTACAGGTAACAGCGGCTTGGGAGGGCTCAGCGCAGGTGCAGCTCCTTGGGAGGGCTCAGCGCAGGTGCAACTCCTTGGGCTACAGACTTTGACCTTTCCCCTCTGCTTCCTTATTTCTCTCCTCATGAAATTAAACAAATAATTCTCACTTATCTGCCCCACAAAGTGTTTAAAGGGATCAAATATTGCTGTTGCTTTGTGAACTGGAAGTAGATAAGCTACTTAGATGAAATGTATCACGACTGACGTTCACTCAGCTATGGAGAGCCGGCTCCCTGACAGGCACTGCTAGGTGATGGGGAAGATCAAATGAGTCTCTCCCTCTCTCTTTTCTCAGCACTAGGATTGTACCCCGGCCTTGCATACACTAAGCAAGTGCTCTGCCACTGAGTTGATCCATTTTTACTTCCTTTTAAAAATATTGTTTATGAGCCAGGTGGTGGTGGCTCACGCCTTTAATCCCAGCACTTGAGAGGCCTCTGCCTGTGATCCCTGTGACTTCAAGGCCAGCCTGGTCTGTAGAGTGAGTTCCAGGACAGCCAGGGCTACACAGTGAAACTGTGTCTCAAAAACAAAACAAAAACAACAGAATTTATGAATGCAAAAGCAAGAAGATTCTTTACGGTCATAGGTAGACTGGGGATTTCAGATGTGGGCCAGCAGATTTAGGAATGGCCAAAAGAGGGCTGTGGTCTTGCTTCTGAAGGGTGGTCCAGACTGAATTGCAGAAGGACAAAATGTTGGAGCTAGGATGTAGCTCCGTTGATAGAGTGTGTGCATGCCTAGCACAAAATCCTGGATTCAGTCTCCAGCACTGAAGAAACTGGATGTGGTGGTTCATGCCAGTAATCTCAGCACTTGGGAAGTGGAGGGAGGAGGATCAGGAGTTTAAGGATGTCCTTGGGCTACATAGAGAATTTGAGGCCAGCCTATGATACATGAGAACCTGTCTTGATAATAATGGGGCTGGAGAGATGGCTCAGTGTGTAGGTGTTTGCTGCATAAGCAGGAGAACCTGCATTCTGGTCCCCAGCACCAGCACAAAACCAGGCCATGGCAGAATATACCTGTAGCTCCAGTACTGAGTAGAGGAGACAGGTGGACCCTGGGGCTTACCTCCCCACCAACCTAGCTGAAACAGCAACCTCTAGGTTCACTGAGAGAGCCTGTCTCAAAACAAGGTAGAGATACATCAGGAAGACACCCTGGTGTCAGCTCTGGCCTCCACATGAGCCTGCATGGTCAAGCACACCTTCCCACCCAAGCCTACAACACACACACACACACACACACACACCTAAAATTTTTAAAATTAATTTAAAAAGAAGAGATAATAACAATACCAAGATGCACTGAGCCAGTGGACATGCTCCTAACTGTCCTTCCATTGTGGGCTGAGGTAACTCAAGTGTTCCATGAAGCTGTGAGATGATAGGGAGGGTCCCCACAAAGCCTGGAGCCTTGTCAGCCTTTTTCCTGCACCGGAAACCACAGGAAACCAGGTCAGTGTGTGGGGCTGCTCCCTCTGCTCCAGAGCTCAGCTGTCACTTCTGGGGCTTCCTGAACAAGCTGTACTAGTGAGTTGGTCCTTGAAGCTAGAGACCACTTTGACCCGGAGTCAAGAAGAGCTGGAAAGCCAACCAGGTGGGGAGCACACGCACTCAGGGAGCACAGGAGGCATATTTGTGTTATATGTTCGCTTAACTTTGGCCTGACTTTAAATGATGCACCAGTCATTTCTTTATCTTCAGCATTCAGTGTAGACAAGTGCAGAATGGCTGTTAGTTCTCAAAATGAAAGACTGACTGTCTCTGGCAGATCCAAGTACTAGAGCATGCTAATAGGTATGTCAGATTTGCAGTGTTTGAGGAGTAGGAAGGGTGAGGAATGGGTGCATCTCTACAGCAGGGTGCTGGTCCCTTTCCTGTTAACTGTCCACCACACCAAGAGCCCCCTGTGATGTGAGAGCAGTAAGGGTTTCTACCAAACAGGTGGAGAAGTGAATAAGCCTTCACCGGTGCCCTGGCTCAGGAGGAGGAATGTGACCCAGCCTGCTGGTTAGGATAGAGGAGGAGCTTCAGGGCAGGGTGGATCCAGGGCAGGGCTGGGTGAGAGGGCCTGCTAGTGTGCTCTTCACAGCTCCAGGCCCAGGCCCTGCTGCCCTCCTGCAGACAACACAGCCATGGTCTCTGTGCCCTGACCCTGCAGAAGCTCATGGGGAGCCCCAGATTGGCAAGCTTGTTCCTGCCTCTCCTCTTACTGCTCTTCAGCCTGTCTGTGTCTGCTGAGGCTGGCTGTCTCTCCCGCTGTCTCCTGGCTTCCCATGTGGTAAGGTCCTGCGGCTAGGTGGGGGACACTTGCTTGGCACAGAGTAGAACTGCCCAGTCCCCTGCCTGCCCTTTCCTACCTCTGAAATACCTGTGTTCTAGTGGCAGCCTCCCTGTGTCCACTCTGTGGTCCTGAAGGGACTGATAGGGTTCTAGTGTGCTGAGGTCCTCGCGAGGGTGGGGCTGGGAAGAAAACAGCTGGGGTGGATGCACAGTGGGTCTCAGAACCGGATGACTGACACAGAGTTTCAGGGAGAATGCCCCTTCTGCAAGTCCCTTCTCATGACCCCTCTCTCCTTTCTTTTTCCTCCTGGGCCCTGTATCTGCAGGATAAGAATTCCACCGGTGAGTCTTGTTTCTTGTCTGCTTCTCTCCCCACGCTCCCCAGAGTTCCAGGCCCCAGTGAGCCATCCATGGCCATTTTGGTCCCAACCTGTGGAGTAGTCCTGGGTCGATGGGAAAGTGCAGGACTAGTCTAGATTTGCATTGTGATTCTCCCTCAGACTCTATGACTACTTTTCACTCTCCCATTTGACCCTCAGCTTCTGAGCACAGAAGAGGAGAAATGATTATGTGATGAGGTCAGGGTTGCTTCCTACCAATAGGGAGGGTAAAGTGAGTGCCATGGCTAGTCTCCAGGCCTCTGGACAAGCTGGCTCCTCCTATCACCAGTACTTCACTTGACCAGGAACAATAATCTTTCTTACTTTATTGTACATTCTACTTTACCAAGCTTTCCCCCATGCATTATGTACTTGGCCCTTATGACGACCTACTTGATGGTTGAGCAGTCTGGGTACCTGTCCAATAACTTAACCAGGATTGTTCTTGTAAGGTATGTTAGAGCCCAGCCTTAAATCCAGTTTGGAGAAGGTAGGTGGGACCTCCTTAGACCCTACTATTTTTCTTGTTCCTGTTTTTGTTTTGAGATAGGGTCTCACTATTGTAAGACTCGCAGAGCGTAGACCTTCACGCTCCCACGCAGGAAAGGTGACACCCCAAATCACTCACAAGAAGCGGTCTTGATGTAAGAGCATGAGGACTTTTAATTCCAAGTGCACTGGGGTCCACAATAGAGGACTGAGGACCTCGAGGGCAGGATTGAGATTGCTTTTATAGGATTTACATCAAAGCTAACATGGTCAGTTTCAAAGCTAGCCTGTTATTTTCACTAAGCCTAAAAGCAAGGTAAGCAAGGTCGTGGGACAGTTCAAAACTTAGATGGTTATAAGGTTTCCAGGGTTACAGAGATTTCATAGAGTACACAGTTTTTTTACAAGGTGGGATTGTTTAGTGCAACTGCAAGGTTAGGGGGTTTTCTTTCTCTAGGACCAGCCGGCTCAGTGGCCTTGTCCTTAAGATAATGGGGGGCAGGGAGAATGTACTCTCCAGTCAGGGAGTTATCTATATCTATTGGCAGAAGCACTTGTTCTTTCTAGTTTCCCCTTCTTGCCATGAGTCCTGTTATTAATTTTCTTTGTGGACAGGATAACCCATAACAATTCCCAGACTGTTGTTGAGAATAACAACATTCTTCAGAAACTAGGTGGTTATGAATAATAATAATAATAATTTCCAGAAACCGGTCATCGTGACCGAGCTATTTCATGTGTTTTCTTTTTCCTGAGCTTTGCATGTAGCTAGGGTGATTTTTAAATACATGCTGGTGGATATTTTTACATTTCTAACTTTTAGTGGTCTTTAGAGAGTTAGGCTGTATTTTTATCCTTTCACTATGTAATACCAAAGCCTCTATTATTTATTTATTTTTGGTTCTTCAAGAAAGTGTTTCTCTGTATAGTCCTGGCTGTCCTAGAACTCACTTTGTAGACTAGGCTGGCCTTGAACTCACAGAGATTCACCTGCCTCTGCCACCTGTGTGCTGGGATCAAAGGCATGTGCCATTACTGCCCAGCTGCCTCCATCTTTTAAACCTCCCATCTCACTTAGCCTCCCAGGGAATAGCTTACAGCCATGTGTTACTGTGCCGACTTTCTGTCTTACACAGGAAGTTCTGCTCAAACTCCCTGCCCTACCCTCCTAGCCAGGAAGCCTTGGTACTGGCCCTGCTGTTTGTGCCTGCGTCTGGTGTCACGTCCTTCAGGTAAGAGCAGCAGCCTTTGAGCCATTCTTAGTGAAGGCATGAATTGGGGACAGTTGAAAAATCAATAGCTGGGATGACACAAGTGTCAGTTGTCTTGTTAACCTCAAGAGGGACTTAGAGCATCTAGAATAGCACATCATGACAATTTCATGGGGCAACTATATCTTTGTGGAGGTGTCATCTTTCATGAGGTACCAATTCCTAAAAGTCATGTGTTCCGTGGACTTGCTATTGTTACTTTGGGGCTGTCACTGCTACTTCATTGCCTCTCTTGGTACACACTGAACACACACTTTCAAACTAGCAGTCATAGGAGGATGGAGAGATGCTCAGCCGTCAAGAGTACTACATGCTTTTGCAGAGGACCTGAGTTCAATTTCCAGCACCCATATGAGGCAGCATACAACTGTAGGTAACTCCAGCTCCAAGGAATCTGATGTTTCTGATCTCTTCAGCCTCGTTTATATGTACCTATACAAAGATATACATACACATGTGAGTAATTAAACATAAAATAAAATCACAAAAAGTTAGTTTAAACATTTTCACCATTAGAAATCATGCTACAGCCCGGTGGTGGTGGTGCATGACTTTAATCCCAGTACTCAGAAGGCAGAGATGAGTGGATCTCTGAGTTCAAGGTTAAGCTGGTCTACAGGGTGAGTTCTAGGACAGTCAGGGATATACAGAGAAACCGTCTCAAATAAATAAATAAATAAACAAACAAACAAAGAAGAAAGAAAGAAATCATGCTACAATTAACACTACTTTTGTGGGAGGTGTGTGTGTGTGTGTGTATGTATGTGTGTATGTGTTTAGTCTTTGTTTTATTTATCTTTGCATATCTTTTGTTAGAGGTGGAGAGATGGCTCTGTTGTTAAGGACAGTTGTTGCTCTTCCAAAGGATCTATATTAGATTCCCAGATCCCTCATAGTGGCTCACAATTTTCTGTAACTCTAGTTCTAGGATATCCAGTGCCTTCTTCTGACTTCAGCAGACACCAGGCATGTACATGGTATCCATACATATGTGCAGATAAAACATTCATACACATAAAAGAAAATAAATAAACCTAAAGATTTAAAAAAAGTAAAATATCTTTTATTTATTATTTGACAGTCTCATACATGCAGATAATCTTTCTTGATCAAAATCATCCACAATTCTTTCCTCCCATTCCCTTGAATAATTCCCAATACATCACTGTTCCACATTCATGTCTTATTTTTTTTAAAGATTTTATGTATATGAGTGTTTTGCCTGAATGTATATATGTGTATTACATTCATGAAGTGCCCATGGAAGCATCAAATCCTTGTGGCACTGGAGTTACAGATGATTGTGAACCCCCACGTGGGTGCTGGGAACCAATCCTGGGTCCTCTAAAGAACAGCAAGTGCTCTGAACGGCTAATTTATCTTTACACACACACAGCCCTCAACTTTTTGAGAGAGAGGCTTACTGTGTAGTTCTGGCTCACCTGGAACTTGCAGAGTAGACCTGTCTGGCATCAAAACCAAGATATCTGCCTTAGCCAGGTGTTGGTGGCACATGCCTTTAATCCCAGCACTCAGGAGGCAGAGGCAGGAGGATCTCTGTGAGTTCAAGGCCAGCCTGGTCTACAGAGCTAGTTCCAGGACAAAGCCACAAAAAGGAAAAAAAACCTGTCTTGAAAGAGAGAGAGAGGGAGAGGGAAAGGGAGAGGGATCTGCCTGCCTCTGCTTCTCAATATAAGTATGAAACTATGCCTTGCTCTGTTTGCTTTGTAACTCACTGAGTCCTGCTGGAATGTTGACTGATCTCGTTGACCTGACCTTGTGCAGTTCTTGTGAGGTAACCACAGCTGCAGTGGGTTCATGAACACGACAGCCATGCCATGTCTAGAAGACTTCACAACACATCTTCTGGCCCTCACATTCTTTCTGCCCTGTCTTCTGTGTTCGCTGAACCTTGAAGGGGCTTAGTTCTTTTTTACTGAATCATAACTTTTGCCACCAGAGAAGCTCGATGTCATTGCTGTCCTTGATTTCTATGGACTTTCTACCCAACATTGGGTTGCATCTCCAGGTGGGACAGGGGCCCAGAATGCCCAGGTAAGAAGTGTGTCTCCCTCCTACAGGACTTCAGTGGGGCAGGTTCCCTCTCTTGGTGGAGAAATCTAAAAGTCCTCATAAATTTGAATTCTACTGGAAGCATAGGACGCCAGCACCCTCCCAGGTACCTATCCTTTACAGCTCTACTCTATGGTCCGCAGCCCCTTTCTTACATTGTTCTCCAACTACAACGGGGGTTTGAAAAATGTGGAGATTACACAGTAAGGGAAACTGAGGCCAAAGGAACTTGAACAACTTGCCTGTTGAATAATTTGTCTACTCAGGGTTCAAAGGCAGAGTTGGAAAGCAGACTTCCTGGATCCTGGCTTAACTTTACTTTGTTCTCTGCTTGCAGAGGAAGCTGCTAGGCAGCCTTTCCCTGTCTCCGGAAGACCATAGCATTTCCAACCCCTCCCCAGCCATCTCCCACAGAGGGCCACGCTGCAAACGGACCCAGCCTTCGGATGCAGGAGGAGTAGAACATCTTCCCAGAGCAGGTTCACAGAAGCGTGGAGGTAGGTGGGGTGAGCAACAGCGGGTGGTCTCGGCCTTGCCCGAGCCAAGCTCTCTGAGTCTTCCCTCTCCCTAGGACCTGAATTCTCCTTTGATTTGCTGCCTGAGGCACAGGCTATTCGGGTGACTATTCCTCCAGGCCCAGAGGCTAGTGTGCGTCTTTGTTACCAGTGGGCACTGGAGTGTGAAGACATGAGCAGTCCCTTTGATACCCAGGTATAGAGTGCCCTGCAAAGAGACAGATTATACAATTTCTCAGCAAATGGGGTGGGGGAAGAGGGGACTGGGACCCAGACAAGGAAAGCAATTGGCCAAAACTTCCTTATAAAATGAGATAAGTAGCATTAAAAACATTTTTTGGGGGGGGACTAGACAGAAAAGGTGGTGGGCTATGTGACTTGACAAGAGGGACCAGAAAGAAATGAGAATGGTATGTATTTGCCAGGGAGAGGACCCTTGGTGTGATTCTGGTCAAATTAAGAGACTTCGCTAAGGGCTGAGGACATGCCCCAGCTTGTAGAATGCTTGCCTAGCGTGCTTCATCTCTGGCATTGTACAGAGGTGGTGGGAGGTGGAATCAGGAGGACCAGAAGTTCGGTCTTCCTTGGATGTATAATGAATCTGAGGTCAGTTTGGGATGCATGAGTCTTAAGAAACAACAAACGCTTTGTTATTTCCTCAGGAGGTTGCTCCCTGAAAATGTGACAGAACTGCCACATGTGTCTTGGTACTCTTCCCTCTCACACCTTTTGTCTAGCCCTTAGAAATGATAGTCCTCACGGTCCAGGTCCTAGCAGCCCACTTCAACCACCACTCATCACAGATGCCACTGTACACAGCTGGCCATCACGTGCAGAGACTGGAGTCCTTCAGCTTGCTTCATATCTACAATGGCTCTACCTTCTAACTTCCGTGATACTAGCCTTTAGTAGAGTTGATGCCTCTAACGCTACATGGCATACGCCTGGAACTCAAGAAATGTATGGTCCTGTCCCTACCCCTCCTGCTTATAGAGTACCTCAAGAAAATGGTCAGAGTATAGAACCAAGATCCTAGGAGAGGGAGAAATAAGTTCCATGGAGTAGTAAAGTAAGGTAAAGTCCAAGGTCCCAGCTTCATCCTGCCTTGTCCGTAGTGTGCATGCTTTTTCATAGGTGTCTCTTTTTCTCTCCCTTTGTGGTTTTATCAACAGAAAATTGTGTCCGGGAGCCACACCGCAGACCTGCCTTATGAATTCCTCCTGCCCTGCATGTGTATAGAGGTGGGCACAGGGAAATGTGGGTTAGCCATGGCTCCTTGTCCAACCGCATCTCCAGTAAATCAATTTACAAAGGACTAGGGAAGGATGGAGATCACTTGATGATTGAGCAGGCTGCATAGCACTGAAGAGAGACTCCAAAAGACCAGGCTGCTGAGATGCTGAGGAAGCTGGTGCTGGCTAAGCTATTAGCCACACCAGAGGTAGGGGGGTCCTAGCCGATTCCACCTCAGCCCTGCCTGGATGCCACTTTCTCTGGTCCAGATTTGGCTTCAGCTCACAGACACAGATTAAACAGCCACCATCACCGTGTTCTTGAGAGCCAAGGTTGCATATTCTTCTCAAAATCATGTTCTCTCCAGCCCTCCATTGTAGTCCTCCATCTCTCCCTGTAAGTCTGAAGATAAAGATGTTTTGGACATCTTTAGGGGGAAGACAGGTACTAAAAGGAGGGTGTGGACAGAGGTCTGGGAAACAAGAAACTGCCAGAGGGGACAACCAGTGGACTGGACTCTTAGGGAGTCTAGAGTGAGGAGTCAACACAGGGTACTGGGTACCTTGAGCAAGTCAAGAATGGAGGTCAGAAAGCCTAAAATCGAAGGATGTGACCCTCGGGATTTCTCTGTTGCAGGAGTTTGCTGTACTCTCTTGTGCTCATACTGCACATACCCATACCATACTGCACAGCACTCACTCCCCATTAGTGTCCTACAGTTCAGGCTGTTTCGTGACAGTCAGCTAAAGCCAGAATGATGATGTTGGAAAAGACATTTCCTTGACACTCTCTTGTTCCCCAGGCCTCCTATCTGCAAGAGGACACTGTGAGACGCAAAAAGTGCCCCTTCCAGAGCTGGCCTGCAGCCTGTGAGTGCTGTTTGTATTAACCCTGATGCACATTCATAACCCCTCGTGTGTGTGTGTGTGTGTGTGTGTGTGTGTGTGTGTGAGAGAGAGAGAGAGAGAGAGAGAGAGAGAGAGAGAGAGAGAGAGAGAGAGGGAGGAAGACTCCAAGTAGCATGGGGACAGTATCTTCTGGAGCCAGGAGGAAAAGTGCCAGTGTCTGCTGTCAGCCTGCAGATGAGCTTCTGAGTGCTGAACATGAGTGGGAAAGGATCCCCCAAGGAGTGTGTGAGAGGAGCAACTATAGTCCTAGGGCTCACTTCTCAGCTCTGCCATGGGTTATCCCCACAGCCCCCCTTTCCAGAACTGTTTTTGAGGCTTGAATGAAATGTCTTACGGGAAGGCGGCAGGTGTTGTCTGGAGTGCTGTATGTACACTGGTGACCTTGAGGAGAGAGGACACGCAGATACAAGTAACACAAAGCCCACGTAGGCAGGGTTAGCATCAAGGGCCGTCTGCAGGACATCAACTCAGGAAAGGAGAAGCCCAGGGACACTGTTGTGAGCAGAGAGGGTATCAGCGGAGCAGGCACCTGAGCTGAGCTCAGGAAATGGACAGGAATTAGAAAGAAGAGGCATCGGGAAAGACATTCAGATTCTGTGAGGAGCCCACAGATTCTGAGTACAGGCTACAGTAAGGGATGTTTAGTATGGAGGTCCAGATGAAAAGGTAGAGCCAAGGAAGCTGGGTAGAAAGGGAGGAAGGAAGGGCGGAAAGGGTGTAGTGCTCACCTGCTGAGCACCTGTGAAGCCTGGAATTGTACCGGTACATTGGTATTTTCTCCCAGTGCTCTGGGGTGGGGGTGGGAGATGGAGTTACAGCTGGGCTATGGCCTCACCCTTGCACCTGCCACCTGCAGATGGCTCGGACTTCTGGAAGTCAGTACACTTCACTGACTACAGCCAGCACAATCAGATGGTCATGGCTCTGACACTCCGCTGCCCACTGAAACTAGAGGCCTCCCTCTGCCAGAAGCAGGGCCCACTCTTGCCCTGTGAAACCCTCACCAATGCCACAGCACAAGAGTCAGAAGGAGTAAGGACAGCCCCCTCCCTCCAGACTGAGGTGGGCAGGGTTGGGGCCCAGGGACCTTCTCCCGGACTAACTCCCCTCTCCTTAACAGTGGTATGTCCTGGAGAATGTGGACCTGCACCCCCAGCTCTGCTTTAAGGTACAAGCATGGGTAGAGAGCTGGCGGCGGGAGGAGTGAGGGATGGGACTGAATCTTGGTGACTTGCCATTTCTGTGTTTTTTCAGTTTTCTTTTGAAAACAGCAGCCATATTGAATGTCCCCACCAGAGTGGTGAGTCAATAAGGAATCTCTTCCTCCACTTCTCACCCTCAGTCCCCTGTGACCTCCATGTCCAACACAACCCAGCTCTGATCACCTCCCACAAACAGGGTCTCTTCCAACCTGGTCTGTGAGCATGGATACCCAGGGCCAACAACTGACGCTGCACTTTTCCTCAACAACATATGCTACCTTCAGTGCTGCCTGGAGTAATCCAGGCTTGGGACTGGATACCTTGATGCCGCCTGTGTACAGCGTCAGCCAGGTATGGCCTAGCTAGGGTTTGGTTCCCACCAGGTTCTCCTGGCCAATGCATAGCTCTAACCTCTCCATTACTTCAATCAATGTGGCAGACTCTGGGTGGGTGGAGGCAAAAAAGCCCGCATCCTAGCTCCTGTCATAAATGATTTACTCCATCAGCCTTGGATCACTGGTTCTCTGGCAATCTGTGGGGGCCTTCATGAGGGAGTTCCTAAGCCTTTTGGTTCTCCAGTTTCAGAGAGAACACAGCCCAGATACTCCAACCTTCAGTTATGCTCTAGCCCACCAGAGCTGCTGCCACACTGTGTGTGTGGTGTAGATGTGCACACCTGTAGATGTGAATGAAGAGTGCAGAGGTCCTCTATTCCTTTGAGACAAGGCCTCTCACTGAACCCGGAGCTTACTGTTTTCAGCTAGGGTGGAAGCCCAGGGAGACGTTGGGATTCACCTGTCTCTGACCCCGCCCCCAGTGCTGGGGTTCCATGAGTATACAACCATGCTTGGATTTTTTTTTTTTTTTTAATGCTCCTTCAGACAGGGTTTCTCTGTAAAATAGCCCTGGCTATTCTGGAACTCGCTGTATAAACAAGACTGGCCTCAAAATCAGAGAGCCCTTCCGAGCACTAGGATTAAAAGGCTTGTACTACCACTACCCAGCTCTGTCTCTCTCTCTTCCTCTCTCTCTCTCTTTCTCTCTCTCTCTCCCTCTCTCTCCTTTAATCTGGATGGAGCTTGGGATTTGAACTCAGGTGCTTATGCTTGCACAGAAGATGCAGTTACTGAGTCATTCCCTCAACCCTGCATTGAATATTATGCCACCCTTCATCCCAGCTGTCCTCTCCCAGGTCTCATGCCTTCACAAGGCACTTGTGTATAAGTTCACTGTCTTATTTGGGGTTTCTGTTGCTGTGAAGAGACATATCAACCATGGCAACGCTTATAAAGGAAGACGTTTGGGGGGGGGGTGTTTAGAGACAGGGACTCTTTGTGTAGTCCTGGCTGTCCTGGAACTCTTTATGTATGTAGACCAGGTTGACCTCAAATTCACAGAGATCCTCCTGTCTCTGTCTCCCAAGTGCTGGGATTAAACACATGTGCCACCACCACTCACAGAAAAACTTAATTGATGCTGGCTTACAGTTTCAGAGGTTTACTCCATTATCATCGTGGTGGGAAGCATGGCAGCGTGCAGGCAGACATGGTGCTGGAAAGGTAGCTCAGAGTTCTGCAGCTTGATGCACAGGTAGCAGAAGTGAATGCCACACACTAGACCTGGCTTGAGCCAATAATGACGTACCTCCTCCAACAAGGCCATTCCTACTCCAACAAGGCCACACTGCCTAATAGTGCCACTTCCTATGTGCCTGTTGGGGGCCATTTTCTTTCTTTCTTTTTTTAAAAAACAATTCATATTCACCAACTCTCAAGAGACCCCTAGAAGCTGAAGGGCTCACAGTATAGTACTCCTCTGGTGTAACCCCATCATGCTAAGAGCAGGTTGACTAGCCAACTTTGTTCTGTGTATCTGATTTTAAAACCACAATTGCAAAACCACAGCACTAAGCTGACCCAGCATCCTGTGTTCTCTACAGTCCTTCTTTAAAGGCTCCCTTGCAGCTGGAGTCCTGTGGGCTCCCACACAGATTTGAGAGTATCTACTTGCTTGACTCTTGCCCCGAGAGTGGAGTCAAGCAGGTGAGTGGTGCTATTAAAGGGTAGAGATGACTGGCCAACCCCACAGCTACCATGTGGATCCATGTATCATCTGTAGACAGCAATCAGTTCTCTTCCGTTCAGGTTCAGTATACATTCCCCAAGTGCTGCTCTGTGCCCACCCTGTATTATGCACCAGGAGATATAAGAAGGGCATACAGTACAGGCTTTGTTCCCTTTTCTTAGCCAAATAACAGCTGCTTCTAACATTATGACTTTATTAAAAGCATCCATATGCATATTTCCATGTAATGCTTCCAGTAACCCACTAAAGATTATTGTCCCTCATATACAAATAAAGAATCAGAGGCCAGGGAGGGAGGAGATACCATCCAAGTCCATGGAAAGGTCATAAACCCAGGAACTAGAAAGGCAATAGTCAAGCCTCAACCTAGGCCTCCAGCCTCCACAGCTCACTCTTCCCAGTGGACAGGGTGCCTTCTCGGTTGTATAGGGGGGTGAAGAGATGTTCACATACTGCAGCCAACACTGTGTGTGTGTGGGGGGGTGTTAGCTCAGCTGCAGCAGTTACTATCTGGGGAGAATGGGTGGTTGGGGTAGCTGGGGAAGACTTATGGAGGTGATATTGGGCCCTTTACCTATGTAGGGTGGAGGTGGATAGGACATGATCAGATTTGCCTGTATGGAGACAAACATTCTACCCTTTGTCCCACAGACCCAGGGCTCAGTCCCAGCGACTTTTGATCTCATCATTCCCTTCTTGAAGCCAGGGAGCTGCATCCTGGTAAGAAATCCAATCCCCGCTCCTCACAGATTCCCCTGCACAGAGTGCATCAATGTGTTTGATTAAGCCAAGAGTTTTAAGTTGGAATTAGTGGTCAGTAGTTACATGTTATCTTCAAAACAAAACACTGATATTTTGCCTTCTCATAAAAGATGAGAAAACCTGGTGCTGTGTGTCCACAAAGCATGGTGACAAGGCCTAGCATTCAGTGGTGGCTGACTAATTCAGCTGGTCTGTACTCTCCAGCCCAGGCCAACTGTAGGAGCCCTGTGGTCTTTCTGGCATTGGCCATCTTGGAGCTGGAGGAATTTCCAAGCCAGTGGGGGACTCCTTCCCTAGGAGGGAGAGTTGCTCTAGCTCACATGAGTGGGGGCTCTGTGTCCTCAGGTGTGGAGATCAGATGTCCAGTTTGCCTGGAAGCACCTTTTGTGTCCTGACGGTGAGTTCTTAGATGAGAGGAGAGGGAATTTGGGCACTGAAGAGATGGCTTGGCTTCACCCTACTTGATTCAGTCTCCCATAGACACCTGGGCCTCTTGATCCTGGCACTGCTGGGCCTCACCACTCTACTGGGCATAGTTCTGGCGCTCCTCTGCCGGCGCCTACTGCCAGGTAAGTTCACCTGGGGTAGCCAGAGATTCAGACATTCCCAGCCCTTCTTGATTGAGCTAGGGATAAGCACAGACTGCTATCCTTACGCCCCTTAGTGGGCAGGAATTGTTAAGACAGGCCAAAGGGCTTGTGGGTACAAGTTTCTATCTGTACCACCAAGCTGGCTAGAGGACGTGGGGTGGGGGGTTACAATCCATCCCGCTGCCTTAGCCGATAAACACCATATAGGCTCAGCAGTTTGGGGGACTGACTCCCACAATGGATAAAGGACACAGGGTGCAGGGCACCCTAGAGTGTAGGCCAGTGGCCTCTAGGGGAGGGCTGGGCTCTCTCTACCCCCACCCCACCACCACCACCACCACTCAACTGTTGCTTGGATCCCCAGGCCCAGGCCAAGCGCGGCCAATTTTGTTGCTGCACGCAGCTGACTCAGAGGCGCAGCGGCGCTTGGTGGGAGCATTGGCCGAACTGCTGCGGACCGCGCTGGGTGGTGGGCGCGATGTCATCGTGGATCTCTGGGAGGGGACACACGTGGCACGCATTGGACCACTGCCATGGCTCTGGGCGGCGCTGGAGCGTGTGGCGCGGGAGCAGGGCACGGTATTGCTGTTGTGGAACTGTGCAGGCTCCAGCCCCGCCAGCAGCGGAGACCCGCACCCGGCGTCCATTCGCACCCTCCTCTGCGACGCTCCACGCCGGCTGCTGCTTGCCTACTTCAGTCACCTCTGCGCCAAAGGCGACATCCCCCAGTCTCTGCGCACTCTGCCCCGCTACCGCCTGCTTCGTGACCTGCCACGCCTGTTGAGGGCGCTGGATGCTCGGCCTGCCACCCTAGCCACCAGCTGGAGTCACATTGGGGCTAAGCAGTGCTTGCAAAGCCGCCTGGAGCTGTGTCACCGACTGGAACTCGCTGCCAAAGTTGACTACCAAGCTTCAACCGATCATCCCTGCGGCTCTGGTTGTTTGTAGCCTCAGCCTATGGAGCAATAGCTGAAACTCCAGAATGAGGCCTCAAACTTGTACTCTTTGGGGTACTTCTTGCCCCCAAAAACTGTAAGACTCACCCCAGGCCCCAGACTTGTCCAGCTTCCCTCTCACATTTGCTCCCTCTCAGAGTCCCTGAGAGGAAGCTGGGCCCTTTCTGAGGAGGAGTGACGATTTCTCCGTTTCCTTTTAACACGCAGAGAGAGCCACTGGCACCATGCATTCTAGTCCAGGCTGGAGAGTTGGGCCGGGGTTGGGAGGCAGGTCTTATCTGTCAAGATCTTGAGGGTGGTTCTGCAGCGTTGAGAGAAGCCCCCTTCCTTGTAAGCAAGGAGTCAGTCACCCTTTCCCAGAGAGAGACCCTATCCAGAGGTGCTTTTATTTTATTTTATTTATTTTTTTTTTTTTTTTGCTTTATTTTGGTTTTGTTTGTTTCTTTGTTTGAGACAGACACTGTGTAGCCCTGGATGGCCAGGAACAAAGAGATCTCCCTGCCTCTGCCTCCTGAGTGCTGGGATTAAAGGGTTAAACCACCAAGAATAAAAGCGAACATGGTAGATAAGTGAAGGAACACAGTGTGCTGCTCATGTGTGTCTGGGCCTGCCCTAGGCTTGTTCTAGGACAGCTCACCAGCCCAAGCCAAGCCCTCTCTCACTGATGTCATCCGTAGCCTCATTCCCATAAGCATTGCCCGGGAAAGGCAAGGAGCATCCAGTGCCTCCCGGATCCTTTTCTCAAAGAAGAAACCATCCCTACTCTTCCAGTCTTGACAACAGCACTACAGCCCCTCTGCTGAGCTCTGGATCTCCCAGGCCCTGCCTGCCCTTCCATCCCCCTTGAACCCAGGCCTTTTGGAACCAGCCCACTGTCTTCAGAGCTCTCGTCTTGGGAGGGTCACAGTCACTGAGGTCCAGGGAATTATATGAAGAACCTAGGTATCTAGGATCCTGGGTCATACAGGAAGTGGAAACGGGGTGAAGGTGGGGTCTTCTCTATTGTAGTCTGGCTTTGGTGAGAGCCAGGGTGTTGCCTTACTCAGTTGGACTCCAGCTGAGCTTCCTTCCCAGGGCTCCTCCTGGCCAGGTGTCAGCCGAGGAGGAGGAGAGGCCACCACCCCTGTGCAAAGCTGCAGACTCCTAAGCCTGGAATTGGTGGGAGGGACAGGACAGGGTAGGGCGGGAACAGCCAGCTGCCTGCTGGGAGTCAAACCGAAAGCGCTCCAGCTGAAACTGGGCCGGGAGTCAGGGCTCAGAGTGGGAATGCTAACCCTTGTTCTCTCCCAGGGACACAAGGCTGATTGGCAGCAGAGGTGGGGTGTTTACCCCCCTTTAGGGGGGGCAGGACAGGGCCTCAGGCCTGGGTGCTGTCTAGCACCTGGAAGATGCCAATATCCTGGTTCCTGCTGTCCTTGGCACTGGGCCGGAGCCCTGTGGTGGTTTCTCTGGAGAGGCTTGTGGAGCCTCAGGACACTGCACGCTGCTCTATAGTGAGTCTGGGGCCCTGGGAAGTTGGGGAAGGCTAAGAGTTCAGACTGTGCTTCTTCAAAGCCCTAACCTGGCTCCTGTCACTGCCTCTATGAGAACCGCCCTTTCTGGTCTGTCTGGTGCTGATGGGGGTGAGTGATTGAAAAGGGAACAAAAATTAGTCTTGTCTTCAGGGAAGGGCTTAGGATAGGGAGCCCCAGAAGAAGGTAGGCAGGGGTAGGGGTTGTCGAGCAAGGGTGTTAAGCTGAGATTTGGGGGTGCAAATGGATGTTTTCTTCCTTCCCAGGGCCTTTTCTGCCATCTCTGGGGTAAGTACTGCTACTTTAACAGAGAGAACTTTCCAGGCTAGCTGAGGGGAAAGCGAATGTTCACCCTCAGCCCGAGAGGCTGAGCTAGCTCCCGTACCCTCTGGGGGTATCAGAAGCCAAAGCAGGCTCTGAGCAGCCTCAGCTCCCACTACACCCTTCACACCCAGATGGTGATGTGCTCTGTCTGCCTGGAAGCCTTGAGTCTGCCCCAGGCCCTGTGCTGGTGCCCACACGCCTGCAGACGGAGCTGGTGCTGAGGTGTCCCCAGGAGACCGACTGTGCCCTCTGTGTCCGTGTGGTTGTGCACTTGGCTGTACAAGGTGAGTGGGGGATCCTGTGACTGTGTGCACACACGAGAGTTCCTAGGAAAGGCACGGGGATTGCAGAGTCTGTGAGCATCTGCAATGTTTAAGATCCTGGCCCAGGTACCCCTAGACCAGCCAGCGTGTTCCTCCAGGTCTCTGCTTACCAGCCACTGCATTTCTGGAAGGGAATCTCAGCCTGAACCAGCCCAGAACAGAAGTCTGACTTGGGCTTTACTCGGGCTTTACTCTCTTCTCTGTTCCTTGCAGGGGGCTTGGAGGAGCCTGAAGAAGGGGAAAGGTCCGACTCCAAACTCCAGGAGCCTAGGAACGGTGAGGAGCCAGTTTGGCATAGCTGCTGTTTCCTGGCAGGGTCTTTCCCATGGCCTGTGGCCTGGCTGACCCCGGTATGTTTCCCACAGCCTCTCTCCTGGCCCAGGTGGTGCTCTCCTTCCAGGCCTACCCCACTACCCGTTGTGCCTTGCTGGAGGTACAGGTGCCCGCTGTCTTGGTGCAGCCTGGTCATTCTGTGGTATGTGAAGTGCTTCTCCTGGTGAGAATAGTCACCCGGGCAATCTGATCTTCCCTCTGCAATCTGCCTTCCCACCGCAGTCTGACATTTCCACCAAATCAGTCTGACATTCCTACCGTAGCCTGACGTTGCCACCACAATCCCGTGCAGTGTGTCTTTAAATCTTGGATCCGATCTGAGCAGTGAGCCCTCTCAGCCTTTTGTGGTAGCTTTTCTGTCTATAAAATGAGGGTAAGGACACTCCTGCCTCACATGTGTGACTTGGTGGGAAGTCACTAAGCAGTTATCTGGGACAGTTTTATTTCATACACTCACCAGCAGCAAATAGTTTCCAATACTTCCATCTTTGCCAATACTTGGCATTTTAAAATTCAAATGTTAGCCATCCTGCTATATATGTCGTGGTTTCTAACTGGGGATTTGTGTGTACATGTGTGGTGGTAGTGTTTATATTTCTAAATTATGTTTGTTTATTGTGTATGTATATATGTGTTCTGGGGGACTTAGATGGAGAGCAGAGGATAACCTAGAGTCTGTTTTCTCCTTTATACGGAGGGTCCTGGGAACTGAACTTGGGTTGTAAGGCTTGGTAGAAAGCACTTTACCTACTGAGCATCTAAGCAGCCCAGGGCTGGTGTTTTTGTTAGTGATGTGTGTGTATGAATGTGGGGGAAGGGCAGGCTGGGGATGGAACCAAAGGCTTTGTATAGGCTAAGCAATCATCTACTGCTGAGCTAAAACCTCAGCTCTTGTTTTTATTAGATAGAATCTTGCTGTGTAGTCTAGACTGAAATCCTCCTGCCTCACCCTCCTGAGTCCTAGGACTACCACATGTGCCACTGTGTTTGGTGTTCATTACAGCTTTAATTTGTATATCCCTGATGACTAACTTTTTACATACTTTTTACACACTTACTGGCTGTTTATAACTTCCTTCATGAAATGTCCTTCCAAACTTTTGATAACTTTGTAAAATAAGAATAAAGAGCTGGGCAGGTAGCTCAGCGGTAGAGCTCTTGCCTAACATGCTCAAGGCCCTGGGTTTGATTCCAAGCAAACACATGCATGCACACATGCACAGACAAACACATACACACACACACACACACACACACACACACAGAGTCAAAAACAAGTCATAGTTCCTTTGACTGTTGAGCAAATTAACTGAGTTGGTATCTGTAAAAACACTTCATGTATCTGCTTAGTTTTTACTTCACAGATGCTTGCATTAAGTGTATCTGGTCAGTTTCCCTCTAACCAAGTGATCCATGGCAGCAGGCATAGGCAGCAGCTCAGATAGCCTGGTTAATCCCAAACCTGCCACCACAGCTACAGAGGATACTTGCTTTAGAACCTGTTCAAAAAACAAACATGCCTTTAATCCCAGCACTAGGGAGGCAGAGACAGGTGGAGTTTCATGAGTTCAAGGCCAGCCTGGTCTACAGAGTGAGTTCTTTGGACAGCCAGGACTACACAAAAAAAAAAAAAAAAAAAAAAAAAAACAGAACAAAACAAAAAGCCATTGGGCGAGCAGAGTGGCCCACCCACATGAGCCCAAGAGCTTGGCCTGGGTTCTGAGTCCTCCATCTCCAGCCCTCTACCACCCTCTCCTCATAGGGTTCTGCAGTGTTTGACTGTTTCGAGGCTGGTCTTGGGGCTGAGGTGCGAATCTGGTCCTATACACAGCCCAGATACCAGAAAGAACTCAACCTCACACAACAGCTGCCTGGTAAGTGACCCAAAGCCCTTATCCCTAGTCTGTGGTCCCTCTGGTCACCTCCCTCTTCCTTGTCCTTCACTTTCAGGCAGGGATATGAGCTGGTACCCTCTTTAGTCAGTTCCTTGTGCTTCTAGTTCCTGGGATGGGTACTCTGTACTCATGTAAATGTGGGTGGTCTTCAGGGCAGAGGCAGCCCCTCTCTATCTCCCCACGGGTTGGGTTGCCCTCCCTTCTTTCCTTGGTCCCCAGCCCCACTGGAGGTTTTTCTGTGATCTCTCCCCAGACTGCAGGGGTCTTGAAGTCCGGGACAGCATCCAGAGCTGCTGGGGTAGGGGCTAGGGACAGTGGGCTGGATGGAGGGAGGAGCAGGGTCTGGAGTTCACACAATGCATACTTGGGGTTGATTTCAGCTCTGTGATGCCAAATTCTGAAAGTCACAGGACATGTTCCATCATTCATTCATTCATTCACTCATTCCACATGAACTGTAGTAATACTTCATTTATATGTAACAACTGTTCACTAATACCAGGAACATGGAGTAGCCCAAACCACTGTCAAGATTATGGTGCTTTTCTTCATAGATCAAAGTAAAAATGATATTAAATCTGAACTAAGAACCCAAAACGTCAAGATTTTGATGTTACTTTTGTTTTGTATTTTCTTTTTTAAAAAAGATTTATTTATTTATTATGTATACAGCCTTATGCCTGCATCCATGCAAGCCAGGTGAGGGTACTGATCTCATTATAGATAGTCGTGAGCCACCATGTGGTTGCTGGGAATTGAACTCAGGACCTCTGGAAGAGAAGTCAATGCTCATAACCTCTGAGACATCTCTCCAGCCCTTCATAGTTTCTTTCAAAGAAAATTTGGCATGCATATATAGCATATACAAAAAAGTTATAAGTACAATGATTTAAAAAAAATTTTTTTTTGAGACAAGGTCTGTAGTTCTTGCTGGCCTGGAACTTACTATAAACACCAGGCAGGTCTCATGTTCACACAGA